GAGACTCTGTCTCAAAAAAAAAAAAAAAAAAAAATTACCATATCGGGGTTAAATTTTTGAGGTGTGCTAACAGGACTCTGGAGAAAGTCCTAATACTCAGGAGACATATGTTGAAGACTTTAGGCATGTTACGTCATGATGTTTTCAACATACCTTCAAATGGTGCAGAACACAATGAGTGCATGTGTGTACACAAACATATAAATAAACACTGTGAGGACTACACATGCACACAGATGACAGAGAAGAAGCAAATGTGGCACCACAATTGGTGAGGGTGAAGGATATCTGGGTGTTCATTGTAATGGTCTTTCAACTATCTTTACTTTTCAAAATAAAAAACTGAAGAACAAAAAGGCAAGGATTTCCTCATAATGCTAAATTTATTTTTTTTTATCAAAAACAAAAGCTTTTAATAAAAAATGAGTATGTTAAGTGCTTTAATAATCTATTTATTCTCGAATATAAGAAAATCACACTGGTCTGTTTCATTAAATGCTGTTTTCTACTAAAAGGATGCAATCAGAATTATTTCAAAATTATTTAGAAGTAAACACCAATTTTCATGCAACTGAGATCTGTATATAAATTTTACATACGAATACAAATACATATATACATGAAAACTGTATACCAAACAAGCATTCCATTCCTATAGAACTAATATACAAACATTATATGGAAAAATAAAGGAGCTGAGGTAAAGGCAAACTTAAGAGTTTAATGTTCAAGAATATGAACAAATTCAACATTAATTCTATACCTGTGTCTGTCTTCAAAAAACTGGTACTCAATTCTTGCATCTCCTTTTGGTTGAGCTGACAGGAGAGCATCCACCTTCATTACCAAGTCACTTGCCCTGAAAGATGGGGTTAGTGACATCTTAGCATCTCTTTAACCGCAGGTTTTTATATGCCAAACATATTAACCCAAATACTGAATGCTGACAAAATGGTTTTAAGAAGGCAAGAGCTCTGTTTTGACAGGCATGAGAAAGAGTACTGATTTTGTAAGTAATTAGTTGCATGACTTTGAGGAAGTTAGTCATTTTTCCATACATGAAATGGAGACAGCACCTATTTTGCATGACTCTTGTAAATATTGTGCTGGTTAAACTTATCAAGCACCTAGTGCAGGGCCTGACCCTTAATAGGACTGCCAGTATTATTTACATTCTCCCTCATCCTCTTAAATAACTATTACTTTTTATGACGATTAGAGTAATAACTCACTGGAAAAACATTCAGGAAAATAAAGGTGAAAACAGAGACTACATATAATATCATAATTAAGAAATAAGCTATGATATTTTGGTTCATAATTCTACATTTTTAAATGTATATAAATGAAAGTAGGATTACACTATTTAGTCACCTGCTTTTTCACTTAAAAATACATTATAAAATCTTTTGGTTGGTTAAAAAAACACAAGGGTATATCAACATTTTTAATGACTGCATAATATTATATTTATGGATACACCATAATCTATTAAATCAACCAGCTACTGAACATCTATATTGTTTCTGATTTCACTATTATAATCAACACTTCAGAAAACAACTTAGAATAGCATTTCTATTATTCCTACCCCTTCTAAAATTGATTTCTAACGAAGGAAGATCTTGAACTTAATCATGAGCCTGAAAAACATGCTCTAATTTGTTGAACTAAAGACTAAATCCTAAATAAAAATTTTAAGAGAGCATTTGTGAATATATTTAAATTCTAATTAAGGCTATATATTTTCTCTTTGAACCAAACAACTATATCATATTACCTCTTTTGGTTCAACTTCTCGATACTAACTCCAAATACATATAATAGAGGCCCATTTGCATCCTGTGATGTGTCAACATGGTCACAAAACACATTAAGGGATGTGGACTGGGTGACCAGGCCAACATGAAATTCCCTCAAGTACCATGATCAAACAGCACAGCGCCAGGCTTCAGAAAACTCAGGACAACCTTGTGACTACAGGCTGGGTCAAGAATGAAAGCTGTGGCTGTAACAGAGGAGCCAGCCCCAGATGGAGCAGCTCTGGCACTAATGAAAACCCAAGGCAGGAAAGGTAATTCTGGAAAGCCTAATAGTTTTAGCATGGGTCTTTTGGCAGCCCCATGACTACCATATTTCCCTAAATTCACCCAGGACAGACCCAGAACCATCTCTGGTTGGCACAAGGTAAGTCTCGTAGGCATAGTCTGGCAATTATATAGTCCACAAAGCCTCCATACAGAGAGGAGTGGCCCAAAGAGACGTCACACCAAGCCTGTGCCTGTGACATGGTTGCTTCAAGTCATGAAGTACCTCCTGGCCTGCAACAGGGAAGCATTTCCTAGGTCGAGACAAGAGGCATCACTCAAAAGCTGCTGAGGTAGGAGGAGCCGCCTCATCTGAAGCCCTGGTATTGGCTTAAATGAAAAAAGATTTCTAGGCCGTGGTGGGAGAATTGCTTGAGGCCAAGAGTTCAAGACCAGCCTGGGCAGCATACCAAGACCCCATCTCTACAAAAAAATAAGAAAATTAGCTGGACATGGTGGCATGCGCCTGTAGTCCCAGCTACTTGGGAGGCTGTGGTGGGAAGATCACCTGAACCCTGGAGTTCGAGGTTACAGTGAACCATGATTGCACCCTGCTCTCTAGCCTGGGCAACAGAACAATACTCTCTTAAAAGAGAAAAAAAGAAACAAAAAGAAAAGAAAGAAAAAGATTTCTTCCCATGTTGCCCAACGCTTAGCAAAGGGACTACTTTCACAGCTATTGAAGTCAATACTTCACTAAAACATGGATCTTGAACTCTGCAGTGTGATGGAGTATAAAAAAGATGAAGGGAAAAAAACAGGAGAACTTTAAAATTTTAAATCCTCCAACTATACATCAAAGTATACTTCTCTGTGGAATGGCAGAAAATATTTGTAAACCATATATCTGATAAAGAATTGATATCCAGAACATATTAAAAAAAACTCCTATAATTCAACAACAAAAAACACCAAGCAACCCAATTAAAAATGGGCAAAGGACTTGAACAGACATTTTCCCAAAGACATATAAATAGCCAATCTGCACATGAAAAGATGCTCACCATCACTAATCATTAGAGAAATGCAAACCAAACCTCAAAGAGAAACCACTTCACACTGATGAGGATGGCTATTATTAAAAAAAAAAAAAAAAAAACAGAAAATAACAAGTATTGGTGAAGACGTAGAATAATCAGAACCCCTGTGCACTGTTGGTGGGAATGTAAAATGGTACAGCCACTGTTGAAAAAGGTATAGCGGTTCCTCAAAAAATTAAACATAGAAATATATCCTCCAACTATGCATTCGTTTGATATTTAATGTAGAAACTAGGTAAATATGACAAAGGGCTCCAGTTAGACAGCAGGTATATGGTCCATTCAACAATTTATTTTCTTCCATTACGAGATATAACACACTAAAATGCATTAGCTCATAACATTGAAAGAATTAAAATTAAAAGTCATTATTGAGGATGCCAGAGAAACAACTCAGTATTCTGTGCTGGGAAATAAAGGAATAGACACATTTAATCTGCCTTTTCTTTCCTGAATAAAATAAAACTTAATGATAACCAAATAGATAATGAGGGAAAGTATCTCTTTACATAAGTATTCCAGGTAATAAATAAACTAGCCTCTCCACTTCTGCACATGTTTGAAATTTTCCAGATCAAAAGTTTAAAAAAAAGAGAGAAAATTAATTCAGTTCTTTAAATATCAGCCTATGAAATAAATTAGCTTGCTTCAAAAGAAACATAAATTAAAAGAGCATTATTATATTTTAAAGCTGGAAATAAAACAACTTGGGATAGGTATCCTAAGTGACAATATATAATCCTAAACTTGACCAATGAGGAAAATCCAATTACTACAACTCCTGTGGCATGAGCTAATTAATTTCTTCTATGACAAAACTTACACATCTTCTTCTACCCGAAGCTGTTGAATATGAGATTTTATTTTCTGTCCTGAAGTTTTTAAGATGATGTTTTCTAGGAGGTGGAAATCATCTTGGTTAAAGAGCTCACCACCCTCCAGTGGCCCAATGATCTGTGGGGAGAGAAGTGCAGGTGGTCAGAGCTGGAGAGCTGCTCCAGCCGCAGCCGTGAAGGAGCCCCCTCGTCAGGCTGGCTTCCACACCCAAGCACCTTACAGACCAGGCTCTAAATAAAATCAGTGCAAAAATAAAACGTGAAGCCCAAAACAACTTAGTTATTTGTTTACTTATTAATTCCTCAGGGACACAGAACATGGACTTGAACACTTCACCTTATTTTTACAGTAAACAAACTCTGAAGTAAAATTAAATAGCAAGGTAGTTTTCATTAACTCTCACTGAATAAAAATAACACAGCCTACTTGATACGTCAAAGGCCATGCTGACTTATGTTCTGAGAGCCACCACACTCTGAACCCCTCCCACGATGGCTAGATGCAGACAGCAGGAGGGCTCTGCACAGGAACGTTCATGTCAAAAAGCACACTTCCCCGGAAATAAAGTGGCAGAAACAGCATCGGCACTTTGTAAGCCCTAATCGCCTTTGAAAACAGAGTGGCTCTGACTGAAGGGTTTCCTAGCTTCAGAGGAGAATGCTGCAATGAGTGCTCACTGACCTAATGTGTTGTCAAGTTCACAAATCCTCACCCTGCCGTTGCTGATCACAGCCCTCTGTCCCTTCTTCAGCTTCAGAACATCCCTGCAGTACACGGCGTGAGACAAAATGAAATCCATTTTGGAAGACTCAAAGACCTCTTTAAAAAGACTGAAATCCATGCCCTAGGAAAGTAATCGTTATTAAGGAAAAGTGATTATTATTAAGCAAACCATATAAATGAATAATCATCGTAAATAAACCATAAAATGCTCCTTTAGTAGAAGGTAATAACTAAGTTTCATAATTAACATTATGATGTCTCAAGTCTCCATTCTCCCCCATTTCCCCTTCTCTGCTTATAAAGTTACTGTTATTTCCTTTTCCTATTTTTTCAAGTGATTTGTAAAACTGGCACACTATTCTTCACAATACCCTGAATCTGCATTTTTAAATCTTGCTAATTTCTAGTAACAGCCTTTTTTTCTAACTGAAACTCCTAGTACTATATACTCACCATTTTATAAGAAATTTTAAACTATGAAACTCTGTCAAAAAATATGTAACATTATATTAATGAATAAACACGGGCTCATTTTGGAAATACATAAAGAATACATAAGCCTCTAACTTAAAAGTGACTCAAATTTCAGTTTTTTGCTCTATAAACAAATCAAATATTGTCTGTCTTTAAAAAACTGTACAAAACAAATGGCTTTGTACTTAAAACACATATTAAGTTATGCGCATCTTGAAACGTAGGCAAGTTTGGGGAATGTGACAGAATTATTTCTTGGAAAGATTCTTCAAAATTTAAAAAAAAAAAAAAAAATCCCGTGAAAGTCAGAACTAAAAGGACTAATCCTGATCATGAACAGGGCGCGCTGGAACGAGGAATTGAACTTCCGTGGCAAATGACATAACCAGCCTCATGAAAGGCACGGAGACTTACCCCGACAGAGAACTCTGCGATGTCAGCTCCTGCAGCCAGGGCCTCTGCAGCCTCCTCCTTGGCCATTTTGGTGATGAAGTTCTTGGCAGAGTTGGAGGTCTGCGTTTGGAGAGCTGCCCAGATTGCTCTGGAGATCCGAGTGTTTTCATAGCTTATCTCTTCACTAGGATTATTGATCACGCTTATTCTAACATTGTTACTGGATTTCTGTTTACAAAATGGGAAATAAGAGTTAGGTGGACGATGTTTTGAATTTAAAAAGCAGCATTAACATCAGTCTTGTTCCATAGGTAGCAAATAATCTCTCTCTTAAAAGTATTCAGTAGTTCTCCTCTGCATTCAGAATGAAATTCAAATGCTACAGTCAAGCATTCAGACCCCTACATGAACTGGCCCCCAGCCTACCTTTCCTACTTCACTTCTTACCACACCTGGAAATACAGCATATATTGCAAACCATCAGAATCCTATCTTTCCCCAAAACACTTTATAATCTGACACACATCATGCCTCACACTGGCAATGCTAACCCCAACTACATTCCATCTTTACTTCTTTAAGTTCCAACCATTCTTCAGTGCTCCGCTCAAACCCTTCTTCATTCACATGGCCTTTCCAGATTCCTAGCAAAAACAAATCTCTCCCTGGGTGAACAGACAAGAATCCATGTGGAAGCAGATGCCTAGGACCCATAAAGCAAAGAAAGGGTCTGTATCAAGAACATAAGCAGTAGAAATTTATACTATGTGTATCAAAAGAGATGTATAAGAATAGTCATGGCAGCATTCTTCATAACCCCAAATTAAAGCAACCCAATTATCCTTCAAATAGATTAAACAAACTAAACTTTGTGATACAGTCATATGATACAATACTATACAATGAAAAAGAACTAAATACCACTAATTGTAACATCATGGATAAATCTCACAAAAAGTTGAGCAAAAAAACACCAAATGCAAATGAATACATATTATAAGATCCCATTTAAATAATGTAAAAGATAGGCATACCCATTCTATGATGTGAGAAGAGGGAAGAGGGAAGAGGGTGCGGGTAGTGACTAGGCACAAGCGGGGAGGGCTTTCTAGAATTTGATAACTCTCTATTCTTTTTACCTGAATGGTGGTCACATCGGTGTGTGCATTTTGTGACACTGTTATCCCTGTGATTTGTGCACTCCTTTGAACCTATATTGTACTTCAGTTAAAATATTTATTTTAAAAATTCAACTCTCCTTCCCTGTTCTCTCACCTTACTTCCATCTGAGTCTTCATCTAGTGGCATTAGAGTGCCTGTCACATATATGTATCACCCTTCACTAGATCTGCCCTGATCTAACTTTGAATTCACCATGGCATATTGTCCACTCACTCGGACAATAAAGGCACGCGGCACATTAGTAAAATTGAAATCACTTGGATATTTCCTTATTGCAGTAAGCCTTCCTGTGCACAGGGTGGAAAAGCGACAAAAGGAGGGCTGTGACGTTTGGATCAAGCTGCAAATTAAACAGCTCAGGAAAAAGAATCTGACGTGTCAACCTCTGACAACGACACTCCATAGAAGAACCAATTTCTCTCACTCACTCACCATTGCCATTCACGCAATTCCTACTGCTCACGTGCAGCACATCTTTCAGACCATCTACGTGTGTCTTCCTCTGCACACCTGGATCTACTTTTACTGCCTGCTGCTGCCCCCACATCCGGACCTCTCTCAGTGTGAGGTCCCTGTCTCTCCCATACCACACACAGCACGATCGCTGCAGTACCTCTGCAGCAAGAATGTGAATGGTCACGCAATTAAAACTGGCCTATGATAAGCATCTCAACATTATTTTCCCTAAAAGTGCCTATTCCCTTAAATAAAGCCAGAATATTGTAGTCCTTGATCTCTTTTCTTAGGAGCTGGTAGTTCTCTGAAGTCACAGTGCTCTTTTTCCTCAAGCACTAAGAAAGTAGGACTCCCAACTCCCACTAAACAATCACATCAGCACAGAGATACCCATGAAGATTACTGCAGCCCCAAGCAAAAATACAGAATGAAGTTGTATACTTGCCTGATGTTTAATAGCATCATACAATAACTGCCGTCCAGAAGGGCTATCAAAATCCCCAACAATCCAAAAAGTTACTGGCCTAATAAAAGAATCATCTATAGAAAAACAAAAATAACAAATTGAGTTGAAGGAAAAAAAGCACATTCTGTGTTCCAACACTGTTGTTATACCAAATAATTTCTGAAAAGCATGCGTAAAATAAGAAAATGACAAGTTTAATAAAGATACAAAGCAAAAGTAATGAAACTTCTCTACTAAAATGAAAGCAAGGGAAACTTCCATGTAAATTAATTACAGACTAGGAACATGCACTGATTAATTCTAGTCTGTGCATCGGTTAGCATGATGAAATGAAAAAGAGCCTTTGAACATGTGAGTAACATATTATAGTCTTTAATCATATTAATTTGCAACTTTCTCAAAAATAATTCTTTACAAACATTTATACGAAATTTATCTAGATTGATATAGCCTACTGTTACCCACAGGTTCCAGAAACATCACAATAAAGTGTAAATAAATTCTGAAGTACAATGGTCTCTGAAACCACATAAGAGAATTAAGAAGAGGAATAGAACATTCTGAAGTTTTAAGTTACCATAGATTTCCTTGGAGGACATTCCTGGACAAAGATAAAGGGAAAACAGTAGAAGAAAAGAAAATGTCATTTCTGTAAGTAATGCCAACTGTAGGAGTCAAAAGTTACACAATGGCTAACATGGTCTACACTTCTTTCTGCTGCTCAGTCCCATCAGCGTTACAGTGCTGTCCCAGTAGCCCTCAGGGACAATTTCTTTGTGGAACCAAAAGGAGAAATTACCTGTACTTACATCTATCTGGGAAACCAGAAGTCCTCTCTAGGAGAAGACCACAGTGGGGGTAAAATTAGCTGCCTTAAATGACAGCCAGTGCTTTTTAGAAAGGGTAATAAATGTGACTAGAGGAGAAAAGAATCCTTCTGCCATTAAAAGGACATCATTTTACACAAACTTAGCCTAACTGAATAACTCTACACAAAAATCAGCTTTAAAAATTACACAAGGCTTTCCAGAACCAAGTTTATCTTATAAACCCTAAAATAAAATTAACCCTACATTGTCAATGAAGAGACAAATCAAACCAATTTTCAACTCATGAATCCATTTTCACATCGTAAATGTTTTTCCATTTTGAACCATGAAAGACTTTTCCTTTGGACTTTAATCCCCAAAATTTATAAAAACACCTGAATTTTTATATAAAGAATTAAATTTTAAACAGGTGTTTTATAAACTCAAAACATTGTAAGAAATGATTAAAAAATTATGGAATCTCTTTCTCCAACAGACATTAAGATAAATTGTTTGCAAATACTAAAAAAAAAAAAAAAAAAGTTGAATCCAAAAAAAGCCTCAAATGCATTACCTTTCTTTGTCAGATAGTTCATACTGTTGGCTATAGCAGCAGTCTTGCCTTGGGAATCCAAGACAGTAAATCTAGCATAATCATCCACAAAGAAGTTATCTAGGAGGAAAAAATTGAAATATATTTATATTTAAAATGCTTCAGTTCACATTAATATGTTAATATTCAATTGATAACCTGATGTGACCATAATATAAGATTTATAAAAAGGCATGAGCGAAGCATATTAAGTCTCATGGTTGTAGAACACATTCACAACATGGTTCTACCCCACTAATCACACTTTAAAGACACAAAGTTAGTGAGTAACATGTATCTCCCACGTAGCTATCATATGTGGACATGTCAGTTAAATGGCTGAAATTCATACTATTCCCATTCCTGTCGCTTCACGATGGGAGAAGAATCTCTTAAAGAGATCCCTTAACTTATCTCTCCCTTCCCTAGTCCATCTACTAGAGTAAGCTCTTTCCTATCCTATTCTGAAGAGGTGGGATAAAAGGGAGAAAAAATTTAAGAAAACTCTGATTTTTATTTTTCAAGTCTATCAAAATAACTTTCTAAAACCTTAATAGAAACAAAAGGACATATTCACTCTTTCTAGATATGGATCTTCTCCAATTATTGTTAGTCCCAAAGACAAATGCTCTTATTAATCATTTCCCCTCAGATTACTCTTCCTAAAATTCCAGGTTCAGAAAGTCATTCTCTTGCTCTAAACTACCCATTAATTTCTTCCTAGCTACAAAATGGTCTCTAGTATAAGTATCATAAACCCTCTATCTCTAGCATCTCCCCAGTCATAAGCATTAGCCCTCCCTAATACAAACGTCACTCTTCTCATCACTGCCGAGCACAGCTTGCTGCCCACACACCCGTCTGTTCATCTGTGCACCACTGGCCCATCTAGCCTTTTGCTCAACAATGCACACTGAGTGCTGAGTATCCCCCCAGTCAATATTCTACAGAAAAGAAAGCATTGGTAAATCGGTGAGACACAGTCCATGACATCATGTGGAGAAGAAGAGAGAGCACCATGGCCATAAAAATGAGTAGTATCCTTCTAAAAAAAAGGTCCCATGGGAGCCAAGGCCAAAGAAGCCTGGGCTATCACCAGTAGGTTAAGGGGACGCCAGCTCTTCCTCATTGATACTCGCACTGGGTTCAGCTGATAGATGGCATCTTTGCCACTGCACACTAGCATCGTTTCATAGGTCACTGCTACAACCTCAGTAGAAAAGGAAATCCAAGAACAGAAGCACCATTATGCTCTTTATTCACGTGTACTCCAAAGAACTCTTCAAGTTTAATTTAAATTGACGGAAACAACAAAAACTTAGCACAAAGAGTCATAATACTGCTTGCCTTGTTCTATTGAACCTTCTGGTAAGAAGCTAAAACCTAGCTACGAAGAAACAACTTAGCTCACTTTCTGAGTAGTTTCTTTTTTAAATATATGCCTAAATTTACATGTTCTTCTTAAATAAGCATTTCCCTCTGTCTAAAAAAAATTCAGGTAGATTAGAGATAGTGCCATAAGGTAACAACCATAAATAGACCTATATGTTCATTACACTCAACTATAACAACAAATACCATCGGTTACTACTCTACCATTATACATATCTTTTCTTCTCCAGTGAGATTTCAAGGCAAATGATGACAGCTCTACCTTATTTTCAGGTATTTGCTGAAAGAGCCTTCAGAGTCTCAATGGAAAGCACAAGGAACAAATTGCACCTGGGTTTATTAGCACATCTAGCTCTAGCTCTTAAAATGTATTCTAGCGGAAAACACCCAAACGTCCAACAACTGAGGAATAGATACATGAGTACTATCCATACAATGGATTTCAAAAAGGAATGAAATATTGATATATACTACAACATGGATGAGCCTTAAAAACACGCTAAATGAAAGAAGCCAGGGATAAAAGGCTTCTAACTATATGGGATGTCTAGAACAGGCAAATCCATACAAACGGAAAGTAGATTAGTGGTTGCCAGGAGATAGGAGAAGGGAGAAACAGAGTGACTACTAACATGAGGTCTTTTGGGGGTGATGGTAATGTTCTAAAATTAGACAGTGGTGATGATAGCACAACTTTGAGAATACACTAAAAACCATTGAATTATACACTTTAAAAGGTTGAATTTTATGGTATATACATTATAACTTGATGAAGCTACAATTTTTAAAAAAGGCATTCTTAGGTTCTCAGAGTGAAATTAACTGAGATATGTTGACATTATTGCTGACCACGTCTACAATGAGGATGAAAAAAGACAACTGCTTTATGACTACAAGGAAGCCAAAAATCCAGGTCCATTCTTATCATCCACTGCCTGTTGATGTAGCATTTACAAGGCAGTGAATATTTTCCAAAGTTTACAACAGTTTACTACGGAAGACTTTCTCTTCTTTAGGAGGAAGCTCTTGTGAATTTAGAAGCTCATACTATGAACTCAAGGTGCAACAAGTTTAAACATAAAATTGTGCCACAATCTTGGGTTATCTTCTGAACATTACAATCCAATAAATGCAAAGAGTCTGAATTGCCAATCAAAAAACAGCACAAAGTTGCTCCTGAAATGCTCCTTACTACTTGCTGTTAAATCCAGGTACTCTCGCTCAGCTGTCAAAATCCTAGAATTGATTCGTGGAACAACATTTGGCTGATTCATGATATACTCTACCACATCTTGATCATGGGACAGTTCACCCTACAGGAAAAAAAGAAGAGGGAGGGCAGCAGTAAGTGAATTTTATCAATAATGATTCATTAGGAATTTAAAAGTTATTAACTATAATAGTTTCTTATGTGTTGATAACACCTAAAGACTAAGTGACCATGTTATAGGTCCCTATCATTGTCAAGCACAAGCGGTTGGTTAAATACAGTATCTTTAACTCTATCAACACTGTGAGGCAGACATTGCTTCTCGATTTTCACTGTTACAAAGAATGCTACAGTGAATAATGTGTATATCTTTTATACTAAGAATTGGAATTGTTGTGTCAAAGGGTAATGTACATTTTAAATATTGAACTAAATTCAATATGGAAAGTTATGTTATGCGGGAGATGTAAATGAAGAGAAACTTTTACCCACTTACTCCTCTTCCCTGCCACTCATGTTGTCTTCCTGGAGACAGCTACTCTGTGTGTGTGTGTATGTGTATGTGCATGTGCGTGCATGTGTGTATAGAAGAGCTAGATCAAAAGGCATGTACTTTAAATTTTTGACATTCATTTTAAAGATAAGGAAGCTGAGGCACAGAAAGGTTAAATAACTTATTCAAAGTCACAGAGCTAATGTGAAGTGAATAAGAAATACAAATCCGTTTTTATTTGGTCTCTCCACAGACTAGTATGTTTCCCCAGAAATAAGTAAGCTCCACAAATTACTTGCGAGTAAACATAAGCGGAAAGCCATCTGAGACCTACTCATAGTTAGCTTCTTCCTAAAGGAGAAAGTCAAAGATCTCTCAGACAGTTAATATACTTTGTAATAAAAATCACTCCCAACTTTGTTCAATCTCAGGCATCCAAGTGACCCTACTTCTCCACAATCAGAATTACTCTGGGGGATGGAAAAATCATTTATTCTTCCCTTTTGTACATCTCATATTATAGTTGTACTTATTGAAGGTGATCTCAGAGCCAACCGTCAGTAACTGTGGAAATCTGCAAATCTGTCAGACTTAAAATATTTAACATAAAAGTATATTTTAAAGTCATTTCAAGAGAAAGATAAATGTAAATCAAATAGGCCAGCTGTGGTGGCTCATGCCTGTAATCTCAGCACTTTGGGAGGCCGAGGAGGGACAATCACTTGAGGCCATGAGTTTGAGACCAGCCTGGGCAACATAGCACAACCCTGTCTCTACAAAATATATATATAAAAAAAAGGTTAGCCAGCCATGGTGGTGCGCGCCTGTAGTCCTAGCTACTTGGGAGGCTAAGGCAGGAGGATTGCCTAAGCCCAAGAGTTCGAGGCTAGAGTGACCTATGATCACACCACTACACTCTAGCCTAGACAACAGAGCAAGACTCTGTCTCCAAAACAAAACAAAACAAAAAATAGATGTGAATCAAATATACACATTCCAGTCTAAATTATTCCAATTAGACACTGTTTGTGGTTACTTAATAATGAACATACAAGCCAACAACACAACTCAAAAGACTTACAAAGGTACTGGATGACTCCCTATACATTTGTCCCCTGTATACAACTTTGGTCACTATTATCAATCTGAATTGATTCCAGGTAGAAGCCTGTGTAGCTCAGGGAAGGCAATTTGGCAACATCTATCAAAATTTTAAAGTACATACGTTTTGATCCAGCTCTTCTATATACACAGGCTTATAAAGGTGCTTATCAGTGCCAATGGGGAACTGCTATTCGATGGGCAGGCAGTTTGTTTGGAATGATGAAAAAGTTCTAGAGATAGATAGTGGTGGTGGCTGCACAAGACTTTGAGGGTACTAAATGCCACTGAATTATACATTTAAAATGGTTAAAATGATAAATTTTATGTTTTGTATGTTTTACCACAATAAAATTTTAAAAATACATGTATTTCTGCTTAGGGTTACTATTATATCAAGGTTATTTAGTATTTAAAATAATATTTGAGTGACATTCAGCAGAAATGACAGAGTAAAGATCTCTGAAAATTTTGTCTTCCAACAAAACATTAAGAACACTGGAAAAAAATGGTCAAAATCGACTTATCCAAAACTCTGGAAATTAACCAAAAGATTTCAAAAGGAAAGTGACCTTTCTGACTTTTTTTTTTTTTTTTGAGACAGAGTCTCGCTCTGTTGCCCAG